AATTTTACACCACATTATAATGGTATTAAAAGCACTATAGTTTTTTTACAATTTTTAAACAATTTTTTAAAAGAATTTCTAATTCTGCACTAAGATTACTACTTCTAATTTTATAGTTAGGTCACATAATTATACAGGTTCTTTCATTGCTAAAAAAAAATTAAATCTCAATTTTGTATCTGGAAAAAATATTTTTCTATTGTATGAATTTAACGTGGTAATAGAGAAAATTACTGTATGCTACCAGACTTTAGAAAAACCATAAGAAATTTCTAATATAAGGTCTTCAAAGGTTTTAGCCAAAAATTCTTATAAGCGACAGTGTTGAGCTGCATTTACGTTTTCCGGACAAAAGTTGTTAGTAAATTTAATTGAAGAGCAGATGTTCTCTTCATGATTTTTTTATTACCTTAAACTAATTTCAAATTTTTAGACAAGGCACGGGTTTTACTTAGCAAAGTGTCTGTTTCGTTATGTTTTACCCAACCCATCTATTTCACCAGTCTTTTTTCAATAACTGTTCTTTTCTTCAACATTTTTACATTTTTGATATCAAATTTTACAGCTGTATTATTGAAACCTTTTGCCTTACCATTAGTGAATGCTGGACATCGGTTAAGTAAACCAAAAAACTTTTACGCAGAGAAAAGTTTAAGGTAGAATAACAACAACGATCAGCGATTGTCTAGTTTTCATAATTTTTGTTGTATACCTTGAATATTTTGACATTTTTTCAGCATTTTTTTCTTTTGTTTTCTTTAGACCAAAATTCTTTGTAGTTTTCGCGTGTTACAAAATCTACAAATAAATTGCCAATTCATTCATTATCTTTTTATAAATTTTTTCGGCTTGTTTTGCTAGAAAAGTCTCAAACTTTTATTGTACTTTCATCAGAGATCTCTATTTCACTTATTCATTTATTTATGCTTTGTAATTTTGGGTGTTCTGAATGGTCTGCTTGTTCTAACTTCAAGAACTGAGGAATGTCACCACTGAATTACGATAATCAGTGAATAGGCGATCAGTACAGAAGTTTGGTAGAAACAGTTACTTATAGTAATTTGTTTTAAAAGATTTTTTTAACCAGCTTCAATAATGATAAAAGTTTCTTTTTTTTAGCACAAAAACTTTCCCATATCCACAAAACTACCGTTTCAGTTCACTGATAACTTGATTGCGCCGTATAATTTCCAAACTTTTAAGTCTAAAGATGATCAAAGAAAGTGATAACAGTCAATTGTTCAGATATGATAATCATTGCCAAGCATATGTATACTATATGACCAAGTAATTAAATGCTAAATGCAATTGTAAATATTGAAAAAAAAATTAAATTGGTTTTATCCATTGCAGTAGAATAATTCGCCTGTTTTTTTCAGATATTTGATGTGTCAGTTACTGAATAAATACAGATGATCATGATAAATAATTTTCAACTTTTTTTTTTTCTCTGCCAATATATTTCAGTTTTTAGCAGATCATTAAAAACAAATTTTTTTTTTAATGAAAGAAATTTAGAAAACAGCTGACTTTATACGGTTCAAACAAACACACATAAGCGCAGGCAAATACAGAAAATAATTTTTTTTTAATGCTTAAGATTACTCTGATAGATTTCCGCTAAAATGCAGTAAAACTATGGAAATATTTTTGGGTAATTCAAAGTTATTTTTTATTGCTCAGATTAAAGGAAATCTCTGCTTTCTTTTTCGCTACTTTTTTCATTCACTTTTTCTCTTCGAAATCGATAATGTGCCAAATAAAGTGAAAACAGCATAAATTTTCTAAACAGTTAAGTGATGACAAGAATTACACACCGTGGATTATATTGAGCATTAGTTAAACAGAATATGATCAAAAGCTGCTATCAAAGCTTATGTATTTGTCTATCTACAGCAGAACGTTCCCTATCCAAATCCATTGTCCAAAAATATCACCAGAACAGCAACAGTAAAAAACAAGAATAATAATAAGAAGAAGGAGACAACAAATTTCAAATTTTCAGTATAGTTGATTAAGAGGAATAAAAAGAAAAGCAATTAAGAAATTTGTTGTTTCCAGAATACTCAAAGTGAATCAGCTTGATCTGACAAATTTTAAGATACCACATTTTGAACAGCGATAAAACGGACAAGGACTATGAAGTAATAGACGAAATAAACAAAAGCAACGACTACAAAATTCTTTGATCATTTCTAAGATAACCATGCTAATTCCGTTATCTACAGATGACTCTTGATCAGCAGTTGAAAGACGAAAGTAACAGTGGAATAAGAAAATTTGTTTGTTGGATAAGCGAAACAGTCAGCCAAAATTTGACAGACTTGAACGGAACGACAACAGTGAATGTGTTATTAAACAGACTTATTCATCATTGGTGATCATTAGACAACTTTCTCGGCACTGCAACACTTTTTCTGTACATCTCTACCAGGTCTTTCATTAATCTCTATCAAGCGTCAAGCCTTTCCACAAAAAAAAAAAAAAAA